CAATGAAAAACATAAATACTAAGGGATGGAGTGAAAGGCTCCGCAGAGCAGATTTTTTTAATTCTTACCTATGATGGGAGCCAGGCGGAAAATGTCAGATAGACGGCTGTTCACGGGTTCATACGGAGAATCCTCCAAGAAATCATTACCTGTGAGGAAGATTACCAGATGTTATAGATAGATAGATAGATAGATAGATAGATAGATGGATGGATGGATAGATAGATAGATAGATAGATAGATAGATAGATAGATAGATAGATAGATAGATAGATCGTTTTGTTTTGAACCCCTTCCTGTTTTGTTTATCATTGTTCACCCCTCACATTGGCCTGCATGTGACATGGGTTATTTGGGTCAGTCAATATCAAAGCTGGCACACAGCCACACGCTTGATTAGGTAGTTTGGTCAGCTGTATTCCACAACTGGAAGTCGCCTCACTGGCAATGGGCTGGATGGAGTTTAGGGACTAAAAGCCCCCCCTGCTATGATCAACACTTTAAGATGGCACTGCGAGCGCTGAGGGGCTTCACGCTCCATTACCTTTAAGGAAATGATTTAGGAGGTCAAAAGTATCTCGGCTCTGCTGGACTGTGGCTGTGAACTGAGTCAGAGGCCAGATTTGAATGAAAATTGAGTGATTGTGCATGATCACGTTGGACTGTTATCAGATACATCGCTGTGTGCTACTCTTTGAGTTTTTGTGTTTGTGGTAACAGGGATAGGGAGGGTCATATAGCTGAAAGGGGAGGGAGGGTGGGTGAGGATGATGGTGCACCCTCTAGACAGCAGTGGGAGGAGCTGGGGCAACTAATCTTCTCACCCCTTTACCAACCAGATTAGAAAACCTATGGGGAATGTCCATTTCACATTAACTGTAGCTGCAGGCTGTTTTCTAACTGTAGCAGTCCTGCCCAAACAAAGACCCCTCAGGGACTTTGTAGAGATTTTATTGCATCCCCGGGAAAAAAAACTAATATTGTGGTATTGTTTCATTCTCTAGACTAGACTTCTACACAGAAACAACACATCGAAGCCTATACTCTGATCAGAAGAAGCAGCATTACACAATTCTAAATCAGTATCTTCTTAAGGGGTTCTGGACAAGAAATTTCCCAAAAAGTTCCTCCAAACCAACCTTGTAGCGTCTGATAGATGCCCCAATAAATGCGCAGGCAGTTCTTCTCTTTCTTCATGCCCCTTTTACACCGGCAGTTGTAGAGCGGGCTCTGTTTGAGTGCGTCCATGGCGCTCCGGCACTCGTCCTTGGCCTCCTGGCCGGCCACCATACTGAAGTTGCTCTCCTTGCCGCCGGCCACGCACTGCCTCATGGTGCGGTACTTGGTGCTGCACGCCTGCTCCCTCAGGCACTGCTCACTGGCCCTCACACAGTCCAGCCGGGTGGCCCCAGCACGCAGGTTCTCCTCGGCATAAGACAACACATCTGGAAACAGAAGCGGCATTAATAATAATAATAATAATAATAAAAGTAAAGCACAATAATAGCCCTCTGGCAGTTGTTTGCGTATTTTTTCACAGTACATTCACAGCTTAAGCACTTTGCAAGCTGCTTTCAGGGATTAAAATATTAAAGATGAGCGTTTACTCTTCAGTGACATGAAAAACACATTGGTGTCGCCACTAAAGGATCTATAGGTCACACTGCATATCACCACTGATGGAAATCAGTTCCACACTACTTGACAACTTCGTGATCCACGCAGCTAGTTTCCCGACAGTTTCATCCAGTGCCGACGAAAACGCAGTTTGCTTTCACAGACACTATTGTTTGATGAGGCAGCGACAGTTCACCGTGGACTTTGCCTTTTTGGAGCAGTTTGGACTACAGTAGCCCCACCACGTTACCCTGCCGCTCAGCCAGCAGCCGCTGCCACTGCCAGGCTGCCTCTCACTGATAACGCTCACTAAATATTATAAACACACAGCCTCGACATATATCATACGCACCTATGGGATGAATTAGTGTCTAAGCGACAGCTGTTGGTGGTTATAACTCAAGTTAAACTTACCTAAAAGAGGCAGAAGGACATATAATACTGTGAGGATCATCGTCTTCCTCTCCATGTAAAACATAAACCCTTGTTGGAACGAAATTTGCGAACTAAAAGCGACTTAACAGTAGTTTAATTCCCAGGGTACTTCCACTGTATTGAAATCCATTGAAAAGACGTAGCAGTGCGCGCTCCGCTGTACAGAACAGATCCAGCTCGCCTCATGCGAGAAATAATTCCCCCTCCAAAAAGTGTCCAGTCCCGATTCTGCACAGTTTCTCTGACTCTTAATAGTCTACACAACAAAAAAGAAGTGCTTCTTTCTTTCTCTCTTTCTTTCCCTCCCGTGCGGGTGGTCTTCTCACCGCAGGGAGACAAAGACAAGGGATCAGAGCAGCGGTGGAAGCGAAACGGGCGAGTGTCCTCCAACTCCAGCCAGTGGGATGCTTGCGTCTGTGCGTCTGAGCGCACACAGCCAACTGGAGCCCCACTGCTGTCTGGCGCATTCAGCAGGAGGAGAGTGCCAGCTTCTCCCTCGCACTAAAGTACAGTAATCTTATCATACATTTACAAAGATAGGCCTTCCTATCACAGCAAACACACTCCCTTATTATGGCGATATTACAATGGAAGCACAGAAAAAATAAGCTTTAAACTCACTTAACTCACTAATGAGCACCGGAGACATAAGTCCCAATGGGTGCACAATAGCGTGGTCATTTTGAATGGTTACCGTCACTGCTTAGTTGCACACTCACAACAAATCTCTTCAGGGTTATTATAGTCTTTTAATGGTGTTTACTTTTAATAAACTTTTCAGCTCACATACCCACAAAAGTAAAAAAAAAAAAAGAAAAATGCATTAAAGATGTAATAATATGAAGCCTGCACTATCAACCCCTAATGTGTGTGGGCTGGTTTTACGTTTCAGTGTAACTGTGCCGACAGGGAGAGGGCAAAGAGCATGACTCAAGTAACTCACAAGTGCATTTTTATGACATGATTAATATAGCAACATGTGGAGGATCTTATAAGGCACAGTGTGTTGGATCTGAATCCCCCCGCAGTGCCACTTGAGTGACGAAATGAATGGATGACTTTCAGCTGCACACCACTCAGTGCACATATAGCCTGTGTATGATATATCCAGCATGTGTATGGCTCCTCCCAGTCTGCTATAATGTTAATCCCATTTGCAAACGACGAAAATTGTTATGTAACAGTAGCTGATAACTGTGAGGACAGTATGCTTTGTATTTGAGGATGGCACTCACTCATCAGGGGTTCCGATGTAAAATATAGCTTCTACAAAATATGTTTCTGATACTTGTCAACTACAGCAGGCTGACAGCGCTGCGCTGAGGGAAACCTGCCCTCAGCCCACACAGACCAGACTGGACACTGTGCGACTGTCGCCATCTGTTGGTGGTTTCAAATAAAGATTACTGTTCAAACTCATATGAAACCATTTATGATACTTTCAAACAATGCTACATGTTTGAAGATCGATATGTTTATGCTGGGATTCAAAGAAAATAGGAGCATTTTAAACATGTTTGATCAATTTACAATCAAATGAGTAGAAACCTAACCAGCAGAGCACGATTATAATAACAGGGTTGATGCATCATGCGACGTGTAACTCTTCCTATAGCTCATTGATTGCCTATAAGGTCTATTCAGAGGCTAATCCACTTGGCTAAATACATGGGACCAGACTATGTCAATGTCCCTCTCTTCCGCATTAAAGACTGGGCCCAATCAATCAAGGAGGCTGATCATCCACGGCAGTAAATCAACCACACACACACACACACACACACACACACACACACACACACACACACACATATGCAGAGAAAGAGAGAGAGAGAGAGAGAGCGAGTGGGTTCATTCAGAGATGGGATGAAATATCTTATTTGAACGTCAGTGAATAATCCTTTCTTGAAAAGGAAGCCATTAGGTAGGTAGGATGAGTGAATCCCGCAATCCGGAACAGTCACTTTTCAAAACGACTTTCAATTTGGTTAAATAGATATGCCACAGGCCAGTGTCCGCGGCTACTCGCAGGGCATGACTGGAAAGAGACAGAAAATGGGAACAAATGAATGACAGGCTCAGGCTACTATCTGGGCTAATTGTCTGCTTACAATTTGATGACTCTGCTGTTCTAAAGTCTCCAAAGGGAGCCTTGCCAGTCAGGGGACGGCTCAGTCTGGTGATTTATGAAAAGCCTCAATCAATATGTGATATTCATTTTGCAAATGAATGCCAGAATGATGTAGTCCTCGGACCGTTTAACGTTTCACACTATAATGTGGTTCATGGCACCGGATCAGAAGCGCTTTCTGTCCCACTGGTGAAACAAGGAAATTGGTCAAAGTGAGGAATTGTGTGACAAATGTAAGTACGGCGGCGGGTCTCAGTGGATTACGGTGGAGAAGGCTGACTGAGACAGCGCTTGATAATGCTCAGCACTCAAGTGACTGGGGACTGATCATTCAGAGTGTAACGTGACTGCTAGTGACCACAGTTAGCGACCAAGGCTGTGCGTTGTCAACAGCAGACACAGGACAGGAATGGTGACTCCAAACAGGCTAATGTTTATCTGATAACGCACATCACAATTCACACCGTGTCCCTGTAGGCAACTGCATCTAACGAGCCTGAAACTAACACCGCCAGTACTAACGTTAGAAACATCCAGGGTTTTAGCTAAGTTAATGCTACGTGCCTCCTTTTTGATGTTTCACGTTACGTTTTTATTTTTTATTTTAGTTACCCGTTTTATAAAACTGTACATGTTAACATTTCGACTCTTTCACAGTTATATCTAACGTTATATAAAATAAAATACCGAGGTTAGTAACAGTAATAGTCTTGTTTTCCACAAAGACCAGACTAACCGGTGTCAGCTGGCTGCCAGGTGGGCGAGGGGCTTCATCTTTAAATCTGCGTCATTGGCATTACCTTAGCTAGCTAACGCACCTGGCTAAGTTAGCTAAAGCTAACGTTAGTGAACCGTTTATAGAAGGATCTAATTCAATTCAGTTTTGGTTATTAAGCCAGCTATTGACTTAAAATGAGTTTAGACACACTCTTTAAAGAAATCCTTCTATCTGAGCAACAGTTAACCGAACAGACACACAAATTAAAAGAAGGTGAGTTATGCTTGCTTAATGCTACTGACATTTCAGCTGGCAAAATAAGCTAAAGCTATCACAGCTATCAGCTAACATACTAAGTTAGTTACAGTACAATGCTACCTAGCCTGCTCAGTCATATAAAAACTGAAGGGACCCTTCCATCTTTATCCACTCACATTTCATGATATATTTTATTAGATGTATTTCTTTTATTAATGTACTAATTTGTGACAAGTTGCTCAGTGTGGCAGTCTTCTTTTGCAGCTTATTAGTTAATCACTGATCTTTATCTCAGTTAAAATAGCCATCCTCAAAAGCAAAGAGAAGATCAAGAGCACCACTGAAAACTACGAAAAGACCAAAGAGGAACTTGATGAAAAGGTGAGGCTGCATTACAGTGTGTGTTTCTTCTTTATATGTTGCTATTGTATGAATTATTAATACATTTTGTGTCTAGAGGAGAAAACCCTGAAAAAAGTGTAAATTAATTGGTTGTCTGAGTACTTAATACAGTTCAATAGTGTCATTTTAACAGGTTTATTATTTACTTGGTTTGAACAGGTTTTTACCAAATATTAACAGGCCCATTGTTATTGACGTTGGAGGGTTCTGGTAGGGTTTCACCAATTTCAATCCAGGTCAGAGTGAGCCAGTTTACTTAAGTGGTGAATGTGAGTGTCAGATGTTTGATGGTACTGGTGATTTATGGTAGTACAGTCTGATATGGGAACATCCTGATACTCATTTGCATGGTGGCATATATGTTGTTTGACTTTGTGCCTTTAGATACAGTAAGTGTTCGTCTGGGGATCTTGCACAAGGAACACTAATATCATATACTGTATGAAATATTGTTTTATATTTTATTTTTGTCTGTGGTGTCAGGAGGGAAATAAATATTTTTGCTGTGCATACAATAGAATACCTTTATAAAGCAGATAAATTGTTATTGTTTTTTGTATTGTAAATGTATTAAGTATACTTTGTTGTAAAATAAGAATAATAGCAATATTTGCTTTACCTTAAGGCAGCATATGGTATTCATGGTATTGACACATGTGGTGAAGAAGTGTGTATTGGCATATTGATCAGCTGATCTGCTTTATGATTGAAAACACTTAATCTCTCCCATTCATTTCATCAGCTGTGCAAATTGCAAGTGCCACTGTAAAATCAATGGCTAATTTCCACCGGATAACATTAGTGAAACCTTTTAGCATGTGTGAGATATGATGTCAAAGGCAGCTCGTTGACCTCTCAGAAATATTGCTAACTTCTTCCTGTGCTTGTCAAAGTGGGCATCCGATCAAAAGAGCAAATTAACACCATTGTCTGAGTATTATCTGCCCGAGAATACACAACACAGATACCTTTTCTGGCCCTTTAGAACAGAATATTGAAACTGTTTACATCATAGAGATATGCAGGGTGTGTTTACAGCATAGTGTGTTTACAGCCCTCATGATGTAACTTCTTACAGTTTATGAGAGCTGTCTTAAGATAATTACAGTGTTTAGAAAACTTGGAAGCTGATTGTGCTCACTGAAAATGTACTGTGCTCCTCCACTACCATATAAGAAACAATAAACTCACTTCCTCCTTGACAGCTCAAATAACACACTGAAAACTGTACTGAAAGTCATGCCTGAGGCATCTTTTAAAAAGCACCCCCCCCCCCATGAATTTACCTTCCTACATAATTTGGCAATTTTCTTTTTTTGCCGCACTGTATAATTACATAGAATGGTGACAAAAGAGGGATTAAACAAGAAAAGTTTGAAAGTGAATGGCAGAAACCTAGACACCCACATCAAGTAATCAAAGAAACCCCCAGTAAGGGTGACTAACATGTCAGTATAGAGCACATAATAATTGTGCCAGTTGCCCATCCTAGAACTTTCATTTAATCAAATCTCTCCTCCTGTGGGATCGCTAACATATCCCTCATATTTAAAGTGAGGTATGTCCTTCTCTGTACATCTGTCTGTCATATTGTGTGTCTTAACTGCCCACTCAACTATTTGTGCTCTAGGCTCAGCAATTGTCTGCTATACGGCTGCAGTGTGATCTGATAAAGAAATGTGAAGACCAGATGTTGAAGCAAATTGAGGAGCTGCTGTGCCAGAAGAGCTGCCTCAGGGAACGTCTAGTGGGTTGAAGCCTGAATCAATATTTACATCTCAAATCATAGTGGTTATGTGCATGAATACCTGGTCAGCTTATAGTCTAAACTATGTAGACATACAAATTGACTTGCACCCCTATTTGGAATGTAAGCTCTCTAATCAGTTAACCATCGTATCTCAAAACAGCAGCTTTTTGGAGTGGTTTTCACTCCAGCTGTGCCTTATTTACTCTATTACAGAGTTTTTTAAAAATGATTCAGATTAATTATGTAGTGTCCACTGTAAACAAACCATGTGTAAAATAATTTTTCTGGCAACCAACTAATAATAAGCCAATTGTTTCAGCTCCTGACCCAATGGAGTGTGAATATTTACCACAATTCTTCAAAGGGCTGTTATAGTTGTCAAAAACTGTTTTTAGCTGGTCCCAGGTACACACTGTTGTAAATCTGTGGGTTTTTTTTTATGTTTTGAAGCACAACTACATGGAAAAGCACAATGGGCACATAGAAAGGGAAGTGGAAGGGAGCACAAGTGTAAAAGAGAGTAAAAAAAGTAAAAAATATTTCACAAAAGTGAAAAAGTATTGGCTACGGTAAGACCTTCAAATAAAGATTTCTTTTCATACCAGGCCAAGATAAAGAGGCAGTCTAAAGAAGAAGAGGAAAACTTCCTTCAGGAGATCTCAAGGTTCAACAGTGACTTCAGTCTTCGAGTGAACAGAGAGATACTGTACCAGGGTCAAACACACACTGAGACCTTGGATCTGCAGAGGGAAGTGGAATCATTGTACAGAGGTCATAAACTTTTAATTATTCTGTTACACAGTAGACACAGGTTATACATTCCAGATGCAGCTGCTCATTTTAAAATAATTTCTTTCTTGGTTATTTACTATAAGTAGATAAGTCATAATAATAATAATAATAATAATATGTCAGTGTGATTTCAGGAAGAGTCTGGTTTAAATTTATAGATGGAGGAGAGAGAATGAAACTGATATCAGAAATCAGTAATTAGATTCATAACTAAATGGAGTGAAAATGAATATTATTCATTATTCTGTGATCTAAACAACATCCTTGCATTAATCAAACAATCTTAAGAGAAGCTGGAATGTTTTGGGAAGAGTTTGGAACAGTTTATCATAAAGGAAATGTTTAAAAAAAAAGAATTTTTTAAAAATATTATGTTTTGGAAATGTGTCCATATGGTCTCTACGGTTGAATGCATGTGTATTGTATGTGCTAAGATTTAGTAGGTACCTGGTATACTGTCATGGAAACGACAGTATCTAAACTCTATCTCTGTATCATAGTATCTACAGAAATATACAAAGAGAAAGAAAGAATGAAAGAACTACTTGATTAAACACAGAAAAAAACTTAAACTCAGTCCTGGATTAAAATGAATAGGGTTACATTTTTCCACGACCTGGTTTGCTTTATGTCTTCACAAACTAACCAGCAACTAACCCTCATTTCATGATGATATTTAAATTCTTTGCAGTTCGCACTTGGCCTCTGAAGCACTAATAAAACTCTAGTTGTGAACATACTACCATTCATGTGTGTGGTAAATTAATTCGCAATAAAAGTATGTATTGGAAGTATAAAAGTTGGAGACACGTGTCTCACCAAAGCAAAGTTGAGTTAGTTGGGTGAATGTAGTTTTTTGAAGACTGAAGAAAGGTAGGAAAGCAATGCATAGAGTGAATTTACACTTGCTTAGTGTATTGATTACTTGTACAGAAATTGCAGTGGCAATGGTTTATGGAAGCCCAGTATATTGTATTTTTTAAAGCCTTAAACTTTTAATGACAAATTATACTTTGATGTGGTTTGAACCATTTTCTGGGCTCAAGGGAACAGTATTTTCTGATTGTTTGTACAGTTAAAGTGAATTTATAAAAATGCCCACATTGCAGTCTTTTGAAAATAAAAGGTTTTCTTTCGTTGAGCAGTACAAATTCAATATTAAGCTCAGCCCTCCTGGTGGGTTTTACGCTGTCATTCTGGAGGACTAAGTAGGATACGTCTTTTCTTCCTCTACAATCAGAGATGGAGCTGATGAGCCGCGCGAACAATCACATGAGCTCCATGCAGGATGAGAAGAGAGAGCTCCAGCTCCAACTACAGGGCCTGGATACTATCCAGAAAGGTTAATACCAAAAGTTCATTTTATGTTAGATGATGTGTTATCGGTACACTTTTCACACCCCATATGCAGCACTCTCAACACACTTTGCAGGCCCCTTTGTTGTTTCATTCACACTGGCAACAGCATTTTTAACATCTGCTGTTTGAAAGTCAACTAAATTCTTTAACTGTGGCAAAGTCGGCAAAATTTCGGTAGGTGGTTGTATCATGAGTAGTTTGACAAGCTTGAGTTTAGCTTAGTTTCTGGTTTCCTGACGTGAAAAATGTGTTTTTGATCTGTGTTAAAGGGGCTTTACTCACACATACAGTATACAATATGCATTCTCACCTGGAAGCTACCCAGTAAAAATACAGGTTTAGGCGTGTTCAGAATAAAAATAGCACTGCATTAAAAAACGGAAAACACAGCATTGCTGTGGATGTGTTGCTACAAGTACTCGTTTGAAGATGAAATACTCTCCAGGAAGTCCAGTTTGAATAATAGATCCATGAGTTTAAAGTCTTATCAGAGACCAAAACACTGCACAGCAATTTATAATACTATGAGACAAGATTTGACAACTCGGTGCTAACGTTGGTCTGAAGCCAGCTCTAACTGTCAGTCACAGAGCATCCCCTGTAGACTTGGCGAGTTCAAGTGCCTAACAGTGAGAAAATCTCAAGGTTATGGTGGTGTTGGGGGACCTGTAAAATCCAAACTTTGTGCCATTGCCTCAGCCACCTCAGCAAATGTATAAACATTGCACCAACAGCATGTGTCTGTTTTGTTTGAGGAAAGACTTTTGTGTTTGATTTATTACTCTTGACTACAGACCTGGATCGGCAGCTGAATGAGGCTGAGGCAATGACAGAATCTCTGAGAGTGGAGAGCCGGTTTGTCAGTCAGAAACCTTTCACTGACAGCACCTGTCTGAGGTGAGTTTCATCAACTGTCTGGATGTTGAGGGAGGGTATATATATATATTTGGACACACAGACTCAGTAAACAGTACCTGATTTACAGTACTTGCAATAACATCGCACAGAGTATAATTCTTATGAGACAAGAGTAAACAACAAATGCTGCAGCGAAATAAAACAGGAGGAGAAGAAGAAAAAAAACAATGTTCCTTTAAGAAGCTTCCAGATATGTTAAATATTCCTTGCTGAGCAGCTGTGATTAGTTGAGCATTCTCTGTCTTTTGAGAACTGTCAGAGGGCTTGGGGTACAAAAGTGCTCTGTGGTTTTCTACACTATAACTGATAAAAATTCATCTCAGTAGTAGCACTAATAGCTGCGGTCACTCTTGTGATGCTAAATGCATTTAGAAATGGACAAGAAGAGAATCACACTGTTAACAGCACGATACAAAACAGGATTCTGCAGGCCCATTAGATAGGTGTTATTTACAAAGAGCAGAACTGAATCATACTGTGAGAAGTGCTGAATAGACCAGTAAGCCCAGCTCCCGTCTGTGTTTCTCCCTCTCTATCCTGCTGGCTGGAGTCCAAATCTAGAAGTGTAAATAACAGAGCATTAAGACCATTTGGCTTAATTAAGGCTTTGATCTGCAGTGTATTTCATTCAGTCAACAAGTGGGAAAAAAAGAAAAGGAGGCTAATGTGATTGATGCGGGGAGGTTTGTAAGGGAAAATGAATAGGAGTTGAGAGTTAAGCATTTACACTGAATGCTTATCCAGCGTCTTACCAACAAATAAATACAGTTTGGTTTATTGGCATCATACGTCATGTTTTAACTGGAAAAATCTAACTTTTATATGTAAACATCCACACTTTTAACTGAGTTGAATATTTGATATGATACATACATTACAATACAGTTGTACTGTATTGAATTAAATATACTGTATGTGGGGAAGTTTTATTCAGGTGCCTCTTCCATATTTAAACCGTAGAATGAACTATATGCTTCAGCTGTGTCTATACACATTAGATACCTGCCTCAATGTTTTTTTTCTTTAGTTCTTACAATTACTGGTATTGTTCATTTTACTGTTTAACCGTAGTGTCTCGTCAAACCATTCAGTGACCCCTTGTGCCCTATAGAAAAGCATCTGCATTAATGTTTGTCCACTAATTTATTCCACTTTTCTGAATTGTCACACATCGGTATCTTAGATTGAGGCATCTAAACATAGAACAATGGACACAAATGGGAATCTCAGGCAAGCGTTTGCTCATCAAAATGCAATATGAACTAGTTGCAGAATATGAATTGAGGACCTCCTCTATTGAAACATGGCTGGTAGGAGAGCACCGGTCCACCTTGTTTCCGCACAAAGAGACTTCCTTTATTTAATTAAAGACTGGAGATCAATAGTGTTCCAGGAAAGAAGGGTCATTGTTATTGCTGATGCCACTACTTTAGATAATGTCTGCTTTGCAATACTATGGATGTGAAGTGATTAACAAATCCGCCAAACCTATCTAGATGATGATCTCAAATTTTGAAATCCAATTTTTAATATGTATTTATTTATTGTAACTACTTTCAAATCACATCTTTTCCAGAAGTGTTCTTAAAGTGCCTGTTATTAGGCTGAGGTACAAAATAGGTACACGTAATAATCCTTTCCTTCCCTTCCATCTGTTTGTTTTGCCCATCCTTATTTTTCTCTGTCCATTACTTATTCTTCGTGTTCTGCTTTTGCCTTTTTCTGAGCCACACTCCCTCTCCCAGAGTTGCCTTAAATCATGCGTGTGGGTTGCATGTCCTGTTCATCCATCAGCCTCATTAAACATACTAGGGCCTTCATTACCCCCAGGCTTATTAGCCTCAGGAAGTGCTGAGGATGTGGCTTCGGAAGGGGGAGGCCTCCTCTTAGTCATTCTTATGATCATCCATCCTGAACTGAAACCATCAATCCTGTCTTCATCCACTGCACCGTCTCTTTAAAACGCATATTTAACTCTCAGCTCATTGATTGTTGGAAATTGAATGCATGTCAATTTGAATGAGAGCTACAGTCATTTAAAAAGTGTTCAGTGTGCAAAACAGGGTGGCTGCTGGTGTAGATTGTTCACTGTCACGCAATGGAAAGATACCTGATATATTCAGTCTGTGCTTAGGATTGATGATTTAGGAGTTGTATGTATTTTTTGATGTGTAGAATTTTCTTCATTGATATATTACTGCTACATTATTTGTGAAGGCTCATTTGAAGATGTCATCGCACTGCAGAAATCTCATATTAGACTGCAGAAACCACCGATATCCAAACTGCCATCTCGAGCGTCTTGCTGTTGTTCTACTGTTTGAAAAACAGTATGCTCGCCTTAAAAATCTGATTTGTAAGTTCCATATAGAAGTGTAAAGGGTAAAACACCGCTGTTGGTTTTGAGACTGCGAAAATCCAATTTTACCTCAGTTGTTTTATTGTTTCATTAACTTCCAATAAAAGAAAGATAGAGGCTTGTCTCAGATTCATGTGTAGTTCAGAAGAGAACCTCCAAACACCTGCCATAATAGTTAAATCACAGCCAAGGCATCAACTACCATGGACCCAAGTCTAATGCTTTTACCAGATGCAAGCTGAACTGAGTAATACAATTTTATGTATGTCTATGACATTATAGTGTGAAATATTTACTTTGCTACCATAGAAGTAGACTTTTTTAAAAAAAAACAGAAGCAATTGATGCATTCCTGTGGTGTTGCCATAAAGTTTATGTATCTGCTTACCTCTGTGTACTTTGGAACCATCCTGTTTTCTTTTTATGGCAATGTCTGATGTAATGTATGTAATTTCCTTGTTGAAATACATTATAATTATTAAATTTTCTGAAGAGAGATTGTTACAGAAGTGCTGACAGAATGTTAAGACTGTACTTAAAGATAACAAGAACGGCACTCAGAGATCAGAGACCAAGGTGTTTTCATTGTACAGTGATGTTTGAGGTGGCGTCTGTGCATTTCTATTCAGTTCCTTAGATACAGACACCGCTGGTAGAATTGACCTCAAAATGTTAACGAAAGTGAAAATGTGTGTAACCACCCGGGGATTTGGATCCGCTCTATAATGTAATGGATTCTTCCTTGGCCCATGCTACACCCTTCGACCAAGTTTCATGAAAATCAAGCCAGTAGTTTTTCTGTAAACCTACTGAGAGACAAACACACAACACATAAAAACATCACCTTCTTGGCAGAGGCGATATCTTTAATTCTTTCTTGCTTTCTTGCAATTTTACTGCAGCATATAATAATGATAATGTTGTCTCAAGTAGCTTTACCAAGGTAACAGAAGTCACAGTCTGCGTATACAGTATTCTATCATTTCAGATTATTATAGTTGTAACAGTAGTGTAAACACTGGAGTATGGTAATCATGGTCATATTCAAACAGACATTGGACTAAGGATAATCCTGAAACTGAAGCCACATACCTGGAAGCTTCCAACCAGCCTTGAGATTTGCTCAAATTGGGGGATTTCAATGTGAGGGAAATTTATAAACTTGATTTATTGCTGTCAGTTCACTCTGTGCTTAGTAATTTGTCCCTTGGGTCCTTCCGTATTCCTTCACCCCTGTACAAAAAGCCCCTTAGGGACAACATACAATAACATAGGACCTGACAATACTCACTGCAGCTTGTTAGAGCAGGACTGCAGGTCCACCAGTCTACTGAACATCGTTTCAATTGTTGTTTCAGAAACAACATTTTAAAACTTTTTACATCATTAAAGTAGGTAACTTTTATAAAAATAACTCATAATTATTTAAACTTTCACTATATCCTGACAGTAGTACACGAGACAGATAATCTGTAAAAAAAAAAAAAAATCAGGCTTGTTCTAGTGCTCCTAGTGGCATTTGCACAAAAACAACCAGAGCCAAGAAAGAAAGAAATCTCATTCCCATGTAATCAAATACAGACTCAGCAATCAACTATATTCAAGCCAGCAGCCCAAAGCATCTTTCCATCTTTCTTGGCTCTGATTGGTTGTTTTCGTTCTTACTTGGTGGATTCTTGCAAATGCCATTAGAATCACTAGGAGGAGCCAAAGGGGCCCAGTTTTTTCTTACAGACTACGGTCATAGTGAAAAGTTTCAGCAAATATGACAAAAAGTTATTTTTATAAAAGTTACCTACTGCAGCTTTAACCGAGCAGGATTACTGTAGTTGCCTGAGTCTGGTTTCTTTTGCTGTTTGGAGTCATCAGGTGCACCACATAATGATGCAGCATGTTTGAAAAAAGGTCCACATTTCAAGTTTTCACTAAACATCAAGAAGTCCCTATTTCCTGTTAGCTTGCAGTAGCTTACAACAAATCATCCTAGATATTAACTCAACTGTCAAACCACTCCTAAATATTGCCTGTTAAAACTGTAAACGTCTTAGTTAAACTGTAAAAGCCTCATCCAGAGTATTGCTAGGAATCAAGTTGTTTTTGTGCATGTAAACATACTGACGTCAGGAACATGTCTGAACATATCAAACCGGTTTAAATAGAAACCAACAATTTTCTTAATCTAGTTGTTTCTAAGAGTTTGGCTATATTCTGTGTCACTATCAGAATGAATACTAATGTTTTAGTTTCAGGTAGTTCATTTGGTTTGGTCTATTTTCCCCAAAAACAAGGCAACATCAAGTATAGTGATGAAAAGAAAAAACATCAATAGGTTTAAACTCAATTTATCAAACCAAAAATGCTGAAGCTTTTCTTTACATGTTTCTTTCTTTCTTCCTTTTATTCCACCACTCATTTAGTTACTGACATGGGTTTCATTTGTTTACCAGGCTGAGGAAGGAGCTGGAGATGCATAAAGAAGGAGAGCTGGAGCTTCTGAGAGAGGCGCTCAGCTCGGAGATACAGCTCCTGAAGTCAGTAAGTTTCTGTGTTATGAACAAGGCTTTTATTTGAGCTTATAAAAACAGAGTTATGGACAAAGTTATTCATATCCTACGAGAATAAGACAGGACTATTTGCATGTCAAACCAGGGCAGAAAAATAATCTATTTTAAATACAACTAATGTGGAGTACATTGTCATTTATTTTCTAAATGTTATCATGGGAAAAGGAAGTTCAAAACTCATTCATATTCATGCTCATTCTTTAGTGGGTTCTTTGTAGGCTTTCATTCAATTTTTCTTTCTTTTTCTATTTGCAGAAGCTGGACAGCAGCCAGGGAAGTGAGCAGCATTAGGTTTGGCACAATGATAATACAGGAAGGTTTCATTGGTTCACTGATTGTCTCTTCTGTTATAAAACGTGCATGCTGGTGAATAGAATAGAATAGAGAGAGAAAGAGAAGAAAGAACAAATGGAGTGAGATTATAAACTGTTCTTTAATATTTACTTTGAGGTTAGTCAGTATGGAATTTGCTCTTTGCATATAACCTTTAGTCAGTACACAGCCTGTCTTTAAAAGATGTAAGTGATGACACTTACACACTGTTAGTGGAGGAGCTGAAACAAAACAAGAGATACTTATTAAACTGATAAATGTTTAAAGTGACACATTTGTTTTCTTTTTTCCTCTTTCATTCTAAAGCCCAGACTATACTGACAATTTTGTTCTGTTTCTACCTTCAACCAGTTGTTTTTAATGAGACAGATTGCTTTTTACATTTAATGTATTAGCACAAGACTAAAACCTAAACACATGCTCATACACAGTGTTTCATTGCTGACAAAGAAAGGAGGCCTTCAAATAAGTGATTTAATACTGCCCTCTAGTGTACAAAGAGTAGCATGGCTATAATAGGAGTGTTGAGTCAAAACTGAATGTTACACACTGAATTAGCATTAAACAGCATGTAATGTCATGTTTTTCTTCAATATTGTATAATAGTTCAATCACTGACATTGGACTGGAAATGATGTTTTAGACTAAAAGCAAAAACTCATTGTCACTGGTGAAGTGGCATATATTTTTGCCAGAAAAATTAACACAACGGCCAAAAGTATGTGGGCACCCATATGTGATTCACATATGTCATTCCAAAAGCATGGTTTTTAATATGCTGTTGTGTATGATTGTTTCAACCTTCCCCCAGAATGGCTCAAAGTGAGGTCTGACATAGTCAACAGTCAAGAGTTACCAAACAATCAATCAATGCATTTTGTAATAAACAATGAAGAGACCAAAATACAAAATATCAAAACAAGTGATAAATAAGGTCTGATGGGCCGGCCAAAATCAAAAGAGAGAAAACACCCAGACCAGCCCGGACAGGGCCGTAGTATCTGGGTTTTTCCTTCTACCTTAAACCTAAAAACCTTAAAGGAACCAAAACTAACTAAGAGAAACAAAAACTGAACTACGGGTCCTGTCAGAAGATCAAGAAACATCATAACAAACAAATCAAACAAAAGTCTACTTCACAAGGACAAATGCTGCATGCTCAGGGCTGGAAAGTGGAACAGAGACTGAGCCAGAATCCCTGCCCCCCTCCTTATTGGTTCCCCCTCTAGATGAAACATTAGTCCAGAGTTTATGCACCTCATGAGCAGCATGTAACAGTGTGTTCTGGGAAAGCTTACCACTACATATTGGAACCTGGCTGCAGGGATTCAGGTGTTGGATGGGGGTTGAGGTCAGGGCTCTGTGCAGGCCAGTCAAGTTCTACCACACCAGACTGGACATTTCTTTATGATCCCGGCATAGTCCTGTTTAAACAGGAAAGGGGGTTTCCGCAAACTGCTGCCACAAACAAAGAATCACTCTAATTTAAAAAATATAATATGCTTATTCTTCCAAAGAGCTACGGAGCTCGATTGATGAGAGACAGCAAACGACCAAACATTTGTGGATAGGGTTGTCAGAGATGATTCAGATGCTAAAAAGATACATGTGCAAGGGAAGGTTCAGCACATACAGTACTCACACTTGTTCTGGTGAAATGTGAGTCAGATACCCACAAGAAACATACAGAAAATACATTTTTTTTGTCTGTTGCCACCCAATGGGATAGGTGTGACATTACAGTCAACCACTGTTTATCCCTCAGCCCACAGATATTCTGTAATTGATGATTAGACAGTCTGTCGGCCTACACCAGAGGGTCATTGTGCAGGTCGTTCTCTCTCTGATTAGAGTGATTCCTAATAGAATGATGTGGAATGTCAGTGGCTACCTAATGAGATCCTGCAATCTCATTGTGACTTTTTAACCTTGACCTCAGTGAGCTACGTCTGGATGTGTTACTGTAGCAAAAACGGAGAGCAGACAGAACAGCAGACAAAGCAGTCCATTTGGCAGAGTGGTTAACCTCATATTAACTGCTGCTCTGGTCCAGTCCAGGCCACCAAGCACATAAATAGTGAGTGACTATTAGTGAAATGAAGTCAAACAGAAAGCAGTGAAGACAGCAGACAGACACTTGCAGATGCATCCATCCTCTTGTTAATGTCAATGCAGCGATGCAGAGTACCATTGCCACCTGTATATAAACTTCAGTGGCTGCTGAAGTGATACAGTTGTGTTTCTAATTTCCTTATTTCCAATCAAAGAGAGGACCATAGGGAATTCCCCAGGATACTAAAAAAGCTACTCTTGAGAGTTTCTTATAAAAGTGTTTTTCTTTGTTAGCTAAAGAGCTCATTCATGAAACCTAAGAACTGTGTTCCTTTAACTTTACTTTAAAATACTTGCTCCTGTCATTACAGGAGAGATCAAAATCTTAAAACACTTCCTGTTATCAGTGTCCTAAACTGTCCTCAGGGGACGCAACTCAATACTTGCTATAGATAACAGAATGACCTTTCCTCTGGCACCACCGTCAGGCCAAACTTTATATTTCTTTTCCACAGTAGTGGTTCAGTGTACCTCACAGAGCTGCTATTGGCTATTGCATGACGTAAAAAGTGGGACTACAATATCTGTATCAGTAGGTAACAGTCAAAGGTAGACACTGCTGAAAAGGCACTGCTTACCTTATCTGATAAGGGCTGGAACATTTTTAAATTGCATGTACTAACACAAATGTCAACAAAGGAAAACATTCAGGTTAAGGAACACTTTTATTCTTTAAACTTGAAGTCAAGTTTAACATACAGTTTACTACTATTAGCGGTACTTGTCAAGCTTCATTTTTCAGTGAAAATTAGGACTTTCTCACCACAACATTCATCCACATACAAGACAGGCATACTGTGGCTCTCCCTGTACGCCTTGATTCTTCAGCTCAGTGGTAAAAACCTCAATGATTGTGCCCTGCAGTTGGCTGCTGCTCTTGGTTGTTAAGCAGTCTTGAGGAAAATACGCTGTCTTTGCTCCTGAAACTTGAATAGATGCTTCTGGAAATGGAGAGTAGGAAAGTTCACAACTTAACGTCCCACATAAAGTGCCACTGTATAAATATATAAGAAGTTTAACACAAAGAAAAGTAATCAAACTGAACAGAAGAAATGAAAAGTACACTGGAAATGGAATCAGCTTAAAGTTGGTTAGCCTTACCTTTGCACTCAGCCAGCTTGTTCCCTCCTATGTACTGGCTGATCCATTTATTTCCTGTATGATTACCGCATTCCTCATACAAACGACCCGTCCTCAACCAAGCAAAATCGTAACCCTGTGACAGAAAATTCTAATATATTACTCGTCCTTTTTTCCTTTTTGCACAGATCTATTCAGAAAGTTAGCTTCTAGTTATTACAGGTTTTTATCAACAAATTTAAAATTGTATGTACCACTTACATTGTTGCACAGAGGTTTGCAGTAGCGCTTATTGGAAACCGTGACGCATGCCAGCGCTCCATTTTCGGGAACTTCGGGTTCAGGGCATTCCTTTGGCTCAGCACCTTGGCATTCTACAAATCAATTTTATTTAATTTATGAAAAATATAAAACATTTTGAGTCTATATATCATTTCTATTGTCATCTGCAGCCCTTCTGTTTATCCTTCAGACCTAAGACCTACACTGCACCGGCTCTTTTATTAAGGTCCAAAGAATTCCACATTCAGGGTCCAGTGTGTAACTGGATATAGCTATATAACTATGTTTTTATTAGTGTATAATCACCTAAAAATAAGGTGGTCATGTTTCTGTTACCTTAGAATGAGCCTTTTATATCTACACCTTCCATGGAGTCCACCATGCTGAACTGCCATGGTTCTACAGTAATCCAGAATGAATGAAACCAAACATTGGTTCTAGATAGGGCTGTCAATATGTTTTGTGCATTTCACAGCCACCGTAATTTGTCCTTCACACCTGTAAGGTTGTGGGGTGGGGTGAAGCGAGGGGGTCGGAAACTACCTCGCTAGATGCCACTAAATTCTACACACTAGTGATTTAAATTTGAGGAAATCTGGAACTGCTTGCACAAGGAGCACAAAAGACACCTCTGCAATTACTGATGAACACTTTCATCAGCAGAAATGACCTCTCAACATTTAATTTAATCAGTGATCAGAGCATCTACAGAGAGTATAGTAATACTCTACCTGCTAGGTAGAGTTCACTTAATTCAGTGTTAGACTTTAAGTTCTTTGACCAATGTGATAAATTTGGTAAACCGCACTACTCTCCATGAGCACTGAGTGCAGTCTCATCTTTAATTGACTAAGTAAAAAGTATCAGCTGTCTCTCAAGTCATCATGGCTTGTATGATTTATTGGAAACAGACTGAATATGGCAGACTTTTTGGCAGGTACCTGTTGTGGGACTTCAGTAACCTCTCCCTCAGTAAAAGTTGCTTAGACACACACAGTGAAACATTTCATTTCTCAGTTGTGTTGTCACACACTTAAAATAACGATCTGAGCCGGTCAGTAGCAAAAACAAGCACTTTTAATAAACGTATTTTGGTGGTACGCAGTCGCACCTAAGGACTGCGTTGTAGCCTGTTTTGCAGCTGCAGGCGGCAGCCCTCTCACTCACTACTAGACCAAATTCAAAACTTGTTGTCCCCAACAGTCACTGACACAAAAACGTGGGAAAGTAAGGTTGAAAAATACTTATGTTACCATTTTGTGACTTTGGATTTAGTGGCATCTAGCAGTGTAGCTGCAGTTCTCAACTCCCTTGCTTCACCCTCCATTCTACGTCTGTAGATACAGGAGCTCATTGTAAGGTAACAAAAACATAATTCCTTATATTCAAGTGATTATACACTTATGAAAACATAGTAATGGATATTATATTCCATTTCTGCCAATAGATCCGGAATGTTACACACCTGACCTTTAAGCCTAAAATCAGCTTTTGAAGGAGAGAGAACTGGACAAAATGTCTTCACACTCGGGGTATAAAACTTCACACAGATTAAACAACAAGAACACACACAAACACACGTCTCTGGCTCATCCTCCTACCTTTCAGATGGTGTTTGTGCAGAGAATCAGCCAGATTCCTCACAGAGAGCAAAAGTACAGCTGTCTGCTCTGCACTCAATTGCAGGTTTTCACCACACTCTACTGCCACCTGTTGGTTAGTATCAGACAGTACAGCTGTTTTGTTCCCCTGACAATGTGGTATGATATGAAAATGAATGAAAAATATCACATGCTGGATTAATAACTCTTAGTTCGTTGTTTACAATAAACACAATGTGCATTTGTGTGTATGTTACCTGGAGATGAGTTTCATTTCGAACTGCAGAGGAAAAACACACAAATACCATGCCTGTTATATCCAACTTTTTATCAGTCTTTTTTATATTTTTTACTCTGTGTATATGTACTCTGCCTCTCTCATCTCCACTTCTTACAAACATGTCGAACTGTGAATCTTTGTCATAAACTGTAACAGGGGAATTTATTGACTCAGTCTCTGGGGGCAAAGTTTACTGAATTGGCCAAGATTGGAGTTACTGGATTTCCAACATTTCACAAACTCCCACTTCTATCCAATGATGAAACATGAACTTTGGCTGTGCAGAGGTAGATACGTTTTGAGTGCTGTTCCATTTTATATTTGTTTGTGCAGTCTTTCAACTGACATACAAATGAGAACATTTCCGGGAGTTGTTGTCGTTCAGTTTCTGGTTTCGTCTCATAATGTGTACCTATGTAGTACATGCAAACTGATGTTATTAGCCTCTGTGGCCTTTGACACCTAGTAAGATGTCGACTTTATTTACTTGATTTAATTTCTTATTTTGATTGCTTTTTATTGCGTGGTTATTATTTTTACTCATGTTTTATGTCTTTTCATTTTATTGTTGTATTTTATATGTAATTTTGCACCTCATGTGAGCCGTTATGTCTTTTATTTATGATGTCTTATTTATTCTCCTGTACAGCACTTTGGTCAACTTTGGTTGTTTTAAAGTGCTTAACAAATAAAGTTGGATTGGATTGGATTGGATTTGTACTGTTCGTCATCACACTGGATGACACTGCAACTTTAGCCCATTATAGAGCTAAATGTTGGTATGAAATCTAGCACAGTCTTGCTATTTATCCTAAAGGCCTAAGCCCTACTGACTTTAAAAAATAATAATAATTAAAGTACAATACAGTCTCATATTTAATTCAATAGTAAACAGTATCAGCTGTCCGCCCAACTTCTCAGTGCATGTACAATTCAGGCACAACAGCAATCCTAACCCTGGCTCATCCGAACCAGACTGAATATGGCAGATATAGGAGCCTTGGTAGCAGGGCCTAGAATTTCGTAATTTTAGTGGGAAAGGCCACTTGGCCTTCAGTGGAGCATTTTGTTAGAGGGCCCAAAGGCCACATGCCAGGGTATAAAGTTAAAGAGTTAGAGTTAAAAAATGTGATTTTGATTCACTTAGGCAAACCCATTTCTAAAAGCATTTACGTCTTTTTAATAAACAGAGTAACACTAAAAAATAAAAATGTTATCCCAAAATAATTAAATACTCAAATTTAGCCATTTATTATTATTTCCTGTGAACCTACACACACATTGACAATGCTACTATCAGCATTACCACATTATGGTGCATTACATTCTGGGTGGGGGTCACATGATACACCTCCTTATTTACATTTATACATTCATTCTGCTGCACTCAGGCTACTAACAGCTATTTCCAACACAAATTTGTTGTTCTCAATGTAGCATTTGGTCGGTTGGTCCTAATGTCTGGCAATCAAAAATATGCAGAAATGAACAGATCGTGTCAAACACAAATACAGAAATATAGTCTGTTGAGATTAATTAAAGTATGTCAAATGTATTCCCTACTCTGAAACTCTTCTCTGTACCACCTCATCAGCCTTAAACATTTCAACTTCCCAACCTAACCCCACCTTAACCCCAAAATCAAGAGTGAACAAGAGGAAGAAGGCATAACTGGACAAAATGTCTTCACACTCAAAGTCTAAAACTTCATACAGATAAAACAACATACACAAACACACATGTCTCTGACCTTTCAGTTTGTGCAGAGAATCCGTCAGATTCCTCACAGAGAGCAGTAGTGCATCTGTCTGCTCTGCACTCCATGACACGTTTTCACCACACTCTACCGCCGCCTGTTGGTTAGTATCAGACAGTAAAGCTGTTTTGTTCCCCTGACAATGTGGTATGATATGAGAACTAAAATAAAAAAAAAATCACACACACCTTCGAACAAACACAACGTGTGCTACATTTATGGGCATGTCACAACAGCTTTTCTGGTAGGACCAACAGTAACAGTTTACCTTGAGATTATGAATCAAAGTTTCATCTGCGGCGGACAAGACTGCAAGCAAACAAACACACAGCCTATTATCTCCAACTTTTTATCTTTCCATGACTTTTTAGCCATATGCAGTATACATGTACTGTGTAACTCATGATCAAGCAAAACATATAAAACTGTGAGTTTACCTGCAAGTGAGCAAAGCCAAATAAGTGCTCCCTTTAAAGCCATGGCCACTGAATTTGAATTTTTCTGACCCAGAACTGGAGGCAGAAAGCTGTGACAGGAGAATTTATTGTGGTCTGCAGCCAATATTGGAGTCACCGGTTCAACATTTTACAAACTTCCAGTTAAAAACTCCCACTTCTATCCAATGATGGAACATGAACTTGCCTGTGCAGAGGTAGATACGTTTTGAGTACTGTTCCTTTTTACATTTGTTTGTGCAGTTTCTCAACGGACATACAAATGACAACATTTCCCGGAGTTGTTGTCTTTCAGTTTCTGGTTTCATCTCATAATGTGTGCCTATGGGGGAGCTGGTAGTGCATGCAAACTATGATGTAATATGAACTTTGGCTGTGCAGAAGTAGATGTCTTTAGGTTTTGAGTACAATTTCATTTTATATTTGTGAAGTTTTTCTGCAACTGACATACAAATTACAATATTTCCAGGAGTTGTTGTTCTGGTTTCTTATAATGGTTTTCTAATAATTAATATTTTTTCATTGTGCTCTATACTGTATGTCCCTGCTTTGTACTGATGGGGGAGCTGGTAGTACATGCTAACCAATTGTATTACCCATTGTACTGTTCGCCTTCACACAGGATGCCACCACTATTTCTTAGTTGTGAGCCCATTATGGAGCCAAATGTCAGTATGAAATCTACACACACACACACACACACACACACACACACACACAACAGTCCTTCAGACACACTGGATGACTCAGTGTCAGTCAGTAAGTTGTGCTACGAAGGATGACTGCGTAAATAATTCACTGTGGATGTTATTCATTATGGATGTCTGACAATCTGGGAGAAAATGAATTATTGAAGCTTTTAGGAAGACTGATTGAGCTCATTAACACAGAGAATTGCCTTTTTATGTTTGATTTGAGGAACAAAGATTAGTCCTAGAAATCGACCTCGAGAGCTGTCATTATCATCTTACCAACATTTCCTCTCACATGCCTTTCTTTGCCTTTCTGTGTAGAATTTTCCCCTTGTGATCAAAGAAATAATTATAAGTGGCGTTTTCTTTAATGTGGTGATGATATGTTATCCACAGATCCATGCAGCATACAAAATTCAGTTGATGATTACATTTATTCAATGAATTAAAAAAAAATAAAAAATGAATAGATGGCAGAGTTGTTGTGGAAGCTTGTGTAGAAGCCTACTGTTTATTTGCATCAGCCTTTATAAAATTTTGCAGGAATGGCATCTAATATTATAGGTTTGTTTTCATTAGTGTTTAATCACCTGAAAATAAGAATTGTTTTTATCATTAAAACAGTAGGAGTGGGTCCTCTTCCACGGAGGTTGCCATGTTGAATGTAACTGAACGAGCTTGGAAGGCTGAGCTGTATTCAGATGGCCACTCTATACACACTACACTACACACTGGTCCTTTAAAGTAGAACTCCATCAATTTTACACAGTCTGAACATACTAAAGTTGTATAACTTTGTTGTGGCTCCAGAGCAAGCTGTGTGAATGCCTCAAGTAACATCACTTGAGGCATTCTATGTAATACGGGTTTCAGGTTTTGACAAGGAAGAAGAGTGATTGGAAGGAACAGGATTTGTCTCTGGTTCTGGTGCATCAATGTTGATTATAAGTCTTACAGTGTTATAGGAGTGCAATGCTGAGTTGGTGAAGTAGAGTTTTTAAGGTTTGTAGAAGCGGCTCTTGAGGGGTGACAGTTTTGTGCCAAATGTTGTCAAATATAACACATTCATTTATAGTAAACATTATGTGTTAAATGGAAATGAACACGTATAATTTATTGATCTGTTATGGCCACTTCAAGTCAGATTAAGACATGTATTTTGAAAAATCTGATTTCATTTAGAAATTTCTATTCAGTGTCTCATGTAATGTTTTTGAGTTAAGATATCTTCATTTGGGTCTTTTCTAAACAAATATTGCTATATGTGATTGTTAGCGATTAAATCAGCATATATTCCTGCCACGCCTTAAAGTCTTTATGCCAACCTATGAATATTTCTTTAGATCAGCCCCTGAAGGTTTGGTTCGGTTTAAAATATTATAAAATATTATATACAAAAGTTCCCTTACCTAAATAGTAGGCTACATTACATTCCTAAACAACATATGAGTTAAGCTTAAGTTGATTTTGCACTTCCATTAGAGCAGAAGGGCCTTAATTCAGTTTTTGGGAACTAAAACTACTTTGTATAGAGAGACAAAAGGATTAGATTTAGTCTGACTTTAACAGCATCCAAATATCATACTTGTCCAAAATATTCTCAAAAGGAAAAACAATAACAAATGGACCTGCCCCAATAACAACAAACACTGCTGTGCCTGCGCTTCATTACAGATTTAAATTAAATTTGTGACATGCAGATTTGCAGACCATGATGCAGATGGTCTGGAACGTCTGACTTGGCGGCCTCCCATCTTTCTCCAACCGCCCACTGACTCCTGTTTGATGACTTTGACCCTTCCCAGGAGGGTTGGTTGGCTAAGGTTAAGGAATGATGGTCATGGTCATAGTCACAGTTAAAGCTGCAGTAAGTCATTTTTATAAAGAAAATATTTTTTTGTCATATTTGCCAAACTTTCCCTTTATCCTGACAGCAGTACATGAGACACATAATCTATGAAAAAAAAATCAGGTTCCCCTGGCTCGTCCTTGTGCTCCTTATGGCATTTGGAAGAATCCACAGGGCCTGAATAAAAACAACCAATCAGAGCCAAGAAAGATAGTTGTCTGTTGAATCTAATTTCTAGGGTGTCAAATACAGACACTTTGGGACCCTGGGAATGAGACTCAACAATCAAGCTTCCAACCCAAAGCATCTTTATATCTTTCTTGGCTCTGATTGGTGTTTTTCATCCAGGCCCAGTGGATTCTTGCAAATGTCTTTAGGAGTGCTAGAGTAAGCTAGAGGCTTTTTTATTATTTCCACAGATGATTTATCTTGTGTATAATGTCAGAACACAGATGAACATTTCATCTGTGTGTCTGTCTGTCGCTCTCTCTCTCTCTCTCCCCCCTCCTGTGGGAGAAAAAAACCACCAAAAACCAGGGGGGGGATAATGTGTTCGTTTTAACAGGCTCTCCTTTCGTTTTTTTTAACATCAGTGTAACATGTTCTATTTGAAAAGTGTCCTGAGATAACTTCTTTATAAATTGGGCTATACAAATAAAATTGAATTGAATTGAATTGAAGTTGAATTGAACATTTCAGCAATAATAACAAAAAGTTATTTTTTATAAAAGTTACCTACTGCAGCTTTAAACAACAAACTGCCCCTGCTAGGAGACAGCACACATACCACAGTCTGTGCTGCAAAAACTATGCATAAGCTGTTTGTTAGAACCAGTGCCCAATGCTGTGGTTTTCTGAAGAGGACAGTGTACAGTACAAAGGCACACACTCACTAGTCACACATAAATACATTTGAACAGTGGGCCAATCTACAATAATACCTGCACACATCCTTACACACAGTGCACATTACTACAGAGCCAGACACACCTACAGAGGCCCTTTGTAACTGTGTGGTATAAAAGTGATGAATGGCATGTATGATAGCAACACACTCTCCTCTCTGTCTAACCTTTCTCAAATATTCGTGACATTCTCCCCGCGGCGCTCCTTGTCTAGTACCTCCCTCACAGGCTTTGTGCTGAATTAGCCAGCCGTGGAAAACGGCTACTCTGTTGTCAAATGATTCACATGGTTGAGCCGCAGAAAGCCGAGCAGTCAGAGCTAATTGGTATTCAGGAAGACACCGCGCTACCTGTTTCAAACACTTTTCCTGTTTGGGAGGATCACTGCGCCTCCAGGGAAAGTTTGAATGCAATCGCAGCTGATGAATAGCTAATAACGTCTATTAGCTCATTTTAATTACCCCTTTGCTTTTACCATGAGGCTGACTTATTTTCTTAACACACAGAGGCTGCAGCAGTTGCAGATCATTTTAAAGATACAGCACACAGCCAAGTATTTTAAGTATATGACTGATGTGCAAGTGATTTGGAAACAAGGGTTTAACACTGATATTCAACTCTTGAGCTCTTAAAAATAAAGCCAGACTGATCTTGTCAGTTGAAAAAGGCTTGTGAAGGGAATGGAGAGACAAGCAGGACAGTGGAAGTAGGCCCGATAACTCCAGCTGTGCACTATCAAACATTTGAAGCACAGCAGGAAGCTCCAAAACGAAGCTTTCTTCTCCCTGTCTCGTCTAACCTCGTACAGTAATTGACAAACCGTAGCGACAGAAATGTCTGCTGGTGGGATGAGAACATTCTATGAAAAGGGTGAATATAATAGTTGACAGCTCCACTCATCCTTCATCTCCTACTCTTCTCTCTCTCTCCCTCTATTGTTTAGTGTACACAGATTAGCCGAATGTCAGAGAGGCGCCACTTACGGGGAAAGTGCAGGAGGAAAGAACATTTTAAATTAAAGACCGTGTTCGCTCTCCTTGCTCTTTCAGTAGATCCCACTGAGTGAGCCTGTGCGACTGGTTCACACAGTCACTTAGTCACTCAGTACGCCGATCAGTCAAATGAGCATGCAGATTGCTCAACACCTACAGGAACGAAGAGAACATCCACGTACCGCAGCAACGGCACAGAACACACACCAGATGGAGGAAACTATTAATTTATCAAATATTTATAAGATGCAAATGTGAATAAAAAATGATGGTGCTGTCCCCAAACACCTGTTTCCCTGCCGGCTTACCGAGCTCTTGTTTACCACCTGTCTTCTCACACACTTTCCCCCGTCCTGAACACCAGCAGGTCTGTATGTTTACCCCGTGTCTCACTGCTAACTGCTTCTACAGCTTGTTGGCTAGCTTTCTTATGCACTACACACTTATTTTCCTGTAAACACACCTGTTTATTCTTTGCCTTTCTGTCTGCATTCCTTTCTGCCAGTCACTGAGGCCACTGTATTTACCTCCCTGCTCCTTGCTGCCTCTTTGTTTACCTCCTGATTTCTTACCTGGATTCTGCTAATATCAAATGTTATGACCTAATTGGCTGTTAGTATGCTAATGAATGCCTGTGCACAAAAGCTACTTGTTTACTGTTGCATGCCTGGATGTCACCTGATCTTAATGCCAGAATGAGGAACTGCTCACCATTTGATTTTCCTTCTATTCCAGTCCAGTTTTCTACAATGTTCAAACTTTTCTGCATGAGTGATTTAAGGTCATTATCGCTACTTTCTGGACCAATGCAGGAAGTAGTGTCATGTTCA